TTTATTGAGAATTATACTGTTATCTATTTTATCCTACATAGCCTCATTATCCAATTCAGATTTATTCATAGTTCTGTTTTGCCACCTACGAAATTGTCATTTGCCCGTTTTTTTTCAAGTTTGCATTCTGGTATTGAGTAAAGCTTGCTTAATATAAATTGTGCTGTCTGGTCCACCAATGTTGGTAGCTTTCAGAAATCGTTTCATCATACATAGCCTCATCCATATATCCTCCAATTTTCGGCAGTTATCATCCATATAAATATTTGGACTTAAGTCTTGTATTGAGTTTCCGGCATGAAACCTCAGGCAGCCCTTCGTCGAAATCTGAAGGACAATAAACTTCATCTGAAACCCATTGTTCATATGAAAAAAATTGATCTTGGGACGTTTGATGATTTTAGCAATTTGATGTTTCGTTACGGATCAATTTTTTCTGTCCTTGGTGCCATTATTGACGGAAAGTTGCCAACGCTTACGTTTCAGCAGTGTGAGAAGCTCATGCCTCTCATTAACCTGGTTGCGACTGAGACTGAAGACAGGCACAAACGAAGTTTCAACTTTATATTTAAAAATGTTCCTAAGAGTAGACAGCCAGTAGATGTCGCCTTTCATTTCCTCTTTTCATGCGGCTTCAACTTTAGGGTAGCGGAAGCTAAAAGGCTTTCATCTAGGAGCAAGAATCCACCAATTCTTGTCAAACTCTTTTCATCGACAGAAGTAGATTTTATTTTCTCCCATTTGGAGCTCTCGACTCAATATCTCAGGGCAAATAAACTTTTTATTAGTCGAGATCAAACTCCACTGCAACGAAAAGTTTCTCCCCCATTACCAACCGTAAAGCCACCCCCGAATTCTACTCAAATGCCTTTTACCTCTAAAGCAGTTTCTCCATCTGGTGTCGAACAAATCCTCCCACTATCTACAGCGGCCCCAGTTCCATCTAGCTCCTCGACTGATCACATTATCACAGAGATGGTTAAAACTAGCCTCTTTAAAACTCCCCCACGGAGCAAGGATTGTTCAAATGCGGCTCCCAAGTTTACAAGGGAGCTTGATTTTAGCAGTAAAGATGAGCCAGTCCTTGAAGCACAACCGGCTCCCAGCACTCAGAATAGTGATTTAGTTAATAACCTTACACCGAATCCACCCCGTTCCCACGCCTGGCCACTCAGGTCTGACCTGAATGTATTCAAAAACTGATAAGCCATCTTCCTAACTCTCACTGAGTAGGTACGGACAATATCCCAAACTCTTTTATAAAACATCTACGAGATTTTCCTCCTCTGCTTAGCAAAATCTTTTCAGTATTTCTCGTAAATGGCTTCTTCCCTGACTATTGGAAAACTTCTATTATTATTCTAGTATTTAAGTATGGCTGTCGTTCTGACGTACAGAACTATCGAGGTGTCCATAAAACACCCTCTCTCGCCAAAATCTTTAAAAAAATTATCGCCGTAAAAACTACCGAATTTTGCATAGCCAAACAAGTTATTAGCCCTTCCCAGCATGGCTTTTTACCAGATCGCTCTTGTGAAACATGTCATCTGTCGTTTCTCAATCTACTTACCTCTCTTCGTAATGATCACCTATCTGTTGTCGTTATTTATTTTGATCTTAGTAAAGCCTTTGATAAAGTGCCACATAAAAGACTCTTGATTAAATTGGAAGCTATGGGAATTCGCAGTCCACTAATAGACTTTCTCAGGTCATATCTGTGTAATCGTAAACAAGACGTTTAGGTGGGATCTTCACTTTCCAGTGAAAGCCCTATTGTAAGCGGTGTCCTACAAGGTACCGTTTTAGGTCCTCTTTTGTTCTTGCTTTACATAAATGATATTTCAGCAGCAGTTAAACATTCTCAATCATTTACTTATGCTGATGATTTCAAATGTGTATATTCTTTCAATAAATCTACGAGCCTTTATTGCCTGCAACAAATCCACGCTGACTTGCTTGCTCTCTCAGCTTGGAGCTCAAAATGGCTAATGGAATTCTCTCCGTCTAAATGTCGTTATATGTGTTTTGGACCTGATAGGCTACCCCAACCAGTGGTCTTTCAAGGCACACCTATGACTGAATGTACCACCATCAAGGATTTAGGTTTAAACTACACTAGTAATCTTGATCGCTCTCAACACGCTGACAGAATTACAGCCAAAGCTGCCCAGATTTGTGGCTTTATTTCTTACAATTTCTATCTTCCTGAAATTAAATTAAGGCTCTATCGTATGTTTGTACTTCCCATTCTCGAGTATTGTTGCCCATTCTTTGGTTTGATGAATGAAGCCAGTCGTTTAAAAATTGAAAATGTCCAAAGACGTTTTTCTAAAAAACTTTTAGATAGGGAACATCCCAATATCTCCTACTCAGATAGATGCCAGCTAATTAACCTAAAATTTTTATGGGTTCGAAGACTAGAAGCGGGCTTCTGTCTCCTCTTTCGCATTAATCATAGTTCAAATTTTCCTCGGATTTCAGCACTTCTCCCTAGTAGTCGCCCATACAATCTTCGCAATTCGTCTCTTATTATACCTCCTCCAGCGTCCTCCACCTCTAAGCGCTCCCTTTTTTCGCTTCCAGATATACTTTCCTCTGGAATAACCTTCCAATAAATATAAGATCTTCAGAAAATCTACACACCTTTAAGAGAAGGTTACGCCTTTATCTGAATACTGACTCGATTAAACTTTTATTTTCCTCATCCTTCCCAAACAACTTTTTCTATGACACTGAGAAAGGGCCACCGGCAATTTAGCATGCCGCTATTAAATTTCCGTATCTGTTCACGTTTCCTTCCTTTATGAGTAGCCTCGCTACCTAAGATCCCTCACCAGAAATGTTAATTATTCCAATTTTTCAGTTCATGCATCGTGCCCTCACAGAATG